TGAACCTGAGTGTCTCAATCCAATTGTGTGGATAAATCACACATACAATTTTCATTAATTTATTAAAAGGACACTGCCGAACTTATTTTCTTGTAAACAGTGACTTTGTTATTTATCCCATAGCGTTATACCTTTAAATGCAATAATATATACAAAAGTAATTCTGGTACCACAATATATTTTTGACTTTCAAATAACCAATCACGTTTATCTTCAATTGGAGTAAGTACACCATTAATTTGAGTGACTCATTTCATCATTGTATGATTTTTTTTTTAATTTTGTACATTAATCAAATAATGTATTACGCTATCATGCTGCTGACTTTAACATCAGCTGTTATTGAATATTGATTTGGGGATTAATAAATAAGGATTAAGAACTACATGACAGAGGATTTTCTGTTGGCAATAAACTGATTGTACATAAGTTGGTAGGGCGTCCTCTATTCAGATACATTGTACATGTACCTGTTATACCTTTTCAATATTTATTTGATGTCTGAGGGTGGGGTGCCCGGTCAAATACAACTGATGGTGCAATGCCTCATAATCTAAGTACATGTATTGTGAAAAGTAACCTAAATTAACTTGTTGGTTGTATCTACATATATAACATATATATATTCTTTGATATTTTTCAACATTAAAGGCATACTGTTTAAAAAAGTTGGTTGTCAGTGATTGAAACAACTAAACATGCAATATATGCCGATCTTGTAAGGATTACATGTATCGCTGTAAATACAGGTTATTTCCAAATTGATTTGGGACAACACAAAACGCCCATTTTTTACTATTTTTGACTGTAGTTTATCTACAATAGTGTGCCACTGGTGTATTAATTATTGACTGATGGTATGACTTGGTGCCTTCCTCTTTGTTGAGGAAGGTCACAGGTTGTTGCTTCTGAACGGAACTGAGTAGTTCATCATGTTTGAAAGAAAAATCTGTAGAGCTAACTAAACAACCAACAATTGAGCTGTTCGCCACACCATTCAACAACAAGTCTGACTGTTTAACTGGTTGGCATCCCAGTTTCCATGTGCTTGCAAATCCAACGTGTGTACACCCACTTTGTGCCCGGTGCATCTGATATTATTCAGATTGTTGGAAGGGCTAGGAATATCACTCTGATCAACAAGTGATTGGTGATAGTCCACCAAGACAGCGACTCTTTGCTTGTGAAAAGAGAAGTCTAGGTATCTCTTGTGCCTGGATAGCAGTGTTGCATGCAGTAATAGGTTTCTCACTGATGACATAATCCCAACAATTCAAATAATTTTGCATAATGTTGTTAACTGCAGTGATATCATTCGTAGATCATTTTCTCTGATATTCATGCAGCGTTTGTCTGTGGGATGGAAGAACATTTTCCACGTAAGTGGGACAGATATTAGTTTGGAAGAACTCGGTATAGTTTGAAAGTTTCTTTATCAAGTCCAATTGTGGATACCCACAAACCTGTGCGTTGTAATTTTGTTGTAATAAGAGGTATGTACGGGGTCCATGTCAATGAACACACCTATTGATGCTGTACTTGATTTTGGGAGGTAACTGTACGTCCGTACCACTCCTGTGTGACTCCCTTGCAGACCGTGATTGTATCTTTTCTGTACGTTATACTACAAAACTGTAAAGTACTCATACCGGATGTCAATACCAATACAGTCTCTGTTCATATATGTACACTGTTCAAGCCAGAATGAAGTACCAACACACCCACTGTACAGTTTGCACTGGTAGTTTGTTTGCATGATTTACATAATCTACATGGTACACACTTGCATTTACAACATTCACAGAATTTTATGTGATTTTCTCCAACATTACACCTGGGCTGCTTCTTACCAGTTGTAATATCGAGTTTTGTGCTCTGCTGATTAAATGGAAATGTTGATCAAATGGTAATGAATGTGAGTGGCACAAATTGTACCATAATCAGCTGAAACAGATCTGTTGTGTGGCACCCCTTGTCGCAAAAGAGTTTGCTAGTTGACAAAGCATGGATTTGCTAATCTCGTTGGAGACTCTGGTGGCTCTTTTGCGGGCAAAAATTGCAGCATGATTCGATGGCAACGTCAAACCACTTTTAAAACGGAATAAGTTTTGATATCTATACATTCCATTTCTCTAAATAAACAAATGTCTTTGGACAATGAGTGAATTAGGTGGTAGCTCCTTGCAGAAATTCAGATGGGTATTCGTCAACTTCGTAGGGACTGGTAAATCCTGATCTACAAAATGTGTAATACAGGGTTCAGTTTGTCTTTAGATAGATGTACTGAAACACATCATTGAACCACTGAAGTGGATGTTTGCACTCATGTGGCAAGTCTGTGGTTGTAGGAAAATAACCTACATGTTTCTTCCCCATTTAACTGATGATTTAAACAGGTGTGGCTTCTGAGGACTAACACTTCTAGATGTAACGTGCACCCAAATACCGACATTTAGTGTCGCTGTGTTGTTGTCCCAAGATCAATCACATACAGTAACCATGTTAATTGCGTTGAAGTTAGGAACAATTCTTGAGTTGATTGCTGTCTTTCCCATCTCTCTGGTTCAAATAATGAATTTGGGTTGTACAATACATGCATCAAATGGCCTGGTAGCTTGGAAATCCCAGCTTTAACACCAGCAATCGTAATTCCGTCATGGCGGCTTTACTGTGCTGGCTTCCCAGAAAAAGTAGTTTTCTTGTCTGTGTTATGGAGGTCACCTGGAAGTAAACTTTCAATAGCTGATTCTGGTAGCGATTTGATTTGATGATTGAGCGCTAACTTGAACTCGTCCATATAGCCAGGCCCAGACGTAGGGTTGACAGACAGGAATGGCCAATGGCGATAAATTTGACGCATTCTAGAACGCCTCGTGAATTCGAAAATATCTGACATGTCGCCTTACGCCAGTATGGACACAGACCTGTTGTATACAGAGCTTGGACTACAACCAGACACTTCAGTTGGAGCGCTAACGAGCGAGTAACTCCGTTTATTTCTCAACGGGAAAACAGAACCAACATGGCGGGGAAAACACAACGAGAGAACAGAGCATGCGTAGCAAAATGTAAAGCGAACACAAGAGGGCGTTAACATGATTGTACATACAATAAACACACATAGTGGCGTAACCACTTATTGTCTTTAACTTACATCATTTTCGAAAAGACTAAGAAAACGCATGAGGAAAAATGACAGGCAACATGATAATTCAAAATTGTTGTTGGAAAGACACAAAAAATAATCTAAACTGAATACAGACTTAAAAGTCCATGACATAGTCTTTTAGATGTTCCGGAAGCCGGCGGTTACGGCTTGATCGTCTATGTTGAACGGGCTGCATGACTTTTGGATTATCATCAGCCAGGGATGTTGGTGTCTGGTCTCCAGGAGTCAACAATATTGGGTTTATTGAGCCAATACTTTGCGACTCAGTTTCTAAGGGAGTGTCAGTGCAACCTGTTGCCGGTGTTAGATCGGAAGGTATACTTGGTGGTATTGGTGGATTGTGTTGGAGATAGTTGGAGTTGTCGTCTCGTCCAGATGATATGA